AATGAGAAAAGTGCAGCAGGTGGGTGACAATTACGGTCACCTGTTTAGATCGTAATTTCCGGTGAGTGCACAATGGCGGTCTTAGATTTGGGACAACACTATCCCGTTGAAATTCTCGCGCTAAGGCAGTGACTATTGCCTACTGTATTTGAGTGTACTGACTGAAGTATCCGATTTGAGACACGGCACCATACATTATAAAGTTAATATGTCGAAGGTGTTGGCAAACAATGGAGCAGACAAGGATCAATATTAGTGTTCATTTGGAGTCCTCTTTTTGGCCACCTGAAGAATGTAAGTCCATGTTTTATCAGGCTGTGCTTTTGTTTTGATGTCCAACAACACTGAGGGAAATGTCTCTTTCTGCTAAATGGCCCATTGTTCACCAGCTGGTCATTAACTTTGTCCAGCAGTAAGACTGAGCCAATACAGTAAAGTTACAGGCCTAAAAACCAAAAACAATGGGCTAAAATACATTCAGATGCTGCACACAGCTGAGGGGACCTGGACAGTTGGGTGACAATTCTCTGTGGGCTCATCACTACAAGTAACACCTTTCTGATTAAATGTAGTTATTTATTGTTAAAATTATTGTTTAGTGCAGCTTCAAATTAACCTCACTGCATCTACTGGACTGACTGATTCCTTGATTCACATTTAGGTGGAAACTTTTGTGTGTTTGCTGTTCCAAAAGAGGGCCTTTGATGTTAGCTTTAGTGTGCGGTGTGTATTTTGTGCATTTACCTGCTCCCCTCTGCTTTTTAAATCAGTTACAGATCGATAGTATTTAGGTTTAAATGATACCCCCTCTAACTGCTGGAAAATGCTGAAAGGTGCCTGCCCTTTAGATCACCACATCCTTCACTGAGATGAAAGCTCTCTGATTTATTCTAATCAAAAGACAGCTAAATACCAAGGCCAGACCCCCTGAACCAACCTTCCTCCAACACAAAAACAACCACATACACACACACACACACACACACACACTCTCTCTGGTCGACTCTCTGCGGACTGAAGAGCCAGGTGATCTTCCACAGGACCAAAGGGAGGTGAAGGTAGCTGTGACTCAGAGGGAGATGAGGCATTGGCAGGCAAAGGTTTAAGCGTGTGGCTTAATTGCAGCCAGCCTCTCCTGCTGAGCATAATTAGTGTTAGCTGGCGTGTCACTTCCTGTGGAGTTTCATTTATTAGAGATGATGATTGGCTGAGGGATAAAAAACGCAGGGGTGACACCCCTGCCTCCCCTCACAGTGGGGGGGAGGGCACAGCCAGGAGGGCAGTAAAGAGAGGATCTCACCTGCTGAAAGCTCCCCTGCTTTGTATAATGACCTAATTAAGCCTGAGTTGTTTTTCCACTTGTAATGTTGATTATCTCTCGCCCATTTTTTACCAAATTTCTCTCAATCAGTCCCTGTTTTCATTTTGTTTACTTTCTGTTGTTTCATATTAAAATATTCTGCTGAAAAATATTCCAAAATTATACCAATACTATGTTCAACTATTACCTGCTGACTTAAGTCGTATTTGGACACAGCTGTGCTGAAAATGACATGAGGACACCAAACTCCAGCAGATTGGCTACCTAGTGCACTATGTTCACTTCCCACTATATTTAAAGGTCCCATATTACATTTGGTTGCTTTGAAGTGTTCACCTGAAATCTGCTATATTTCTATTTGATCACTCAGAACAGTCATCCATTAGAGAGGCTCAGAGCATCTAAATTTAAACATTTATGAAATATACAGTGTCTTCAGAAATTCTCATAATGGAACATTACAGCTTTCAGTGATGGTGCAAAATCTAAGTGCACCACTCACTTTGTAGTACCATTTTTACTGTATATAATGTATTCATGTATTGATTGATTATGAATTCATTTACTATTGTTTTTTGTTTTACAGGATCTGTCTCTTTCACAGCAATGCTCTTATGACATTCGCAACTGAAAGCTGCTCAGTACAACCACAGTCTGACCTGCTGGCCACTGAGCAGCTCCACTGGAGCAGCAAGGGTTAATGGTCCGGCTCAAGGGCACTACAGTGATGTTGACAAGGGTAAGTACTGCCTCTTCAATTTTCCCACCCAACAGGTTTTGATTAGTGAATAAGTGATTGACGGTGTTAAGTTAGAGAAAAGTGTGAGGGAGATGTAAGTCAGCCAGTAAAGGTCTAAACACCAGGGATGGTGTTCCAACGGTGGGTAGGGGCTTCCAAAATCGTAGATTGCCGCGAAAAAAAAAAAAAAAGTAGGTTTAGACTTTTATTATTAACTTAAGTATATTCAACAGTCGATAGGCAAATGCCTGAATTCTGAGTGCACCAATGACGCACATTGTTGTTCAGGAGAATTGAATGAGCCACTCGCAGCTTAAATAAACAAATGAATAAATAAATTGCAAGTGATGGTAAGACAGCTACAGAAGAAAATATTAAGTGTTAAATCTTTGGAAAAGCATTTTGCTCTGGCTTGGTGTGGGTGCAATTGATGGTGTTGTTCCAAAATTGCAATTTGTTTGATATCCATTACCATACCTATTATGTCATTCCCTATTCATACAAATACTGATTTTATTGTAGGCTACATATGTATACTGTACTTGTACTAATTGCAAAGATAGTATACTTTGGCAGTAAATTTGTAGCATAGAGGTGGCACATTACTTTTTACTTTTTTTCATCCCACAGTGCTACATTACACTTGTCAGTAAAAGTAATCAAGATTCAACAGAGGGATGTATCAGTCAAGCTCCCACACATTCCTGACCTAATCAGGCAAAACAAGTGAACACCTGGGCTGGTGCACCCCAGGAAAGGCATTTAATCGTCTCAAATGTTTGATGACCTGGATTGCACCAGTTGGCTGCCAGTGATCAGCAGCTTCAGGGCTTTCTGCCCTGAAATCCCACAGTTGCAGATTTACTGGCTCATTTACCAGAGTAAATGCCAGGTGTCAAACAGAAGTGAATGTAAGAGGTGTTCATACAGAGTAGTTAAAAATAGTGGGACAATTGTCATCATTGTTAACATTTGTTATTGTTGTACTGTTACCTTTAATAATTTCTCTATACAGTGAAGGTTAACATTTCAGTCCAACAGTGAGTGAATTGCTTTTTTTGGCTTCCGTGTTTATGGCCAGGTTACTACCCCAGGGACTGATGGTGGGTTATATAGTTAAGTGTTGCTCTGATTGAGGTACTTGCCTCTGGCAATAAAAGGTCAACATAAATGATTAATGAGAGGAAAATGTCATAAGGGAGAGGAGGGAGTAAAAGGGTGTGTGAGGTAACGACTCCTACATCCTAAATTTTCTTCTGCTCTCCTTCCATTTCAATTTTTATAATGCAGACCACACTTTATGTTTAACACACATAGATCATGTCAGTACAATTTTAAAAAGTAGGTCCTTTAAAGCAATATTTACATGTGGCTTCAGTGCTGATCGCAGCCGGGTTGCTGTTACAGCAGACAGACAGATCGATCACAGATCAGCTTTGGCACAGTTTCCTCTCATGTTGTTTATCCCTTTAACTGTGAGACTTTGACCTATCCTGTGTAATCAGATCAATGAAGAGAGAATTCCTTATCAGACTCCCACAGAGGTGAGTCCATTGAATCGTCTCTGAGTTCAGACGAAAGCTCTTTACCTCTAATTAGAACCCTTGAAAATTCTAATGAATGCCCTTATGAAAATATATTTAATGGCCCAATGTCAGCAGGAGACCATCCACTGATGTCTGATACATCTCATTAAGAATTCACTTGTGTGTTTTTGTATGTGTGTATGTCATTAGTCAGGTTTCAATTGCAGTTTAGCACAAAATAGAGGCGATTTGGTTTTTTTTTTTTTTAGAAAAGACACCAAAACACAATTGAGAATGGTCTGTGTTTCCATTGAGTTATGTTATGTGAATAAAGCTGGGTTTTCTCTTCTTGAGATATCGTTCCAATTAAACATGACGACGGATTCCCAGCAGTCTTCCTCAGTTGGAATTGGCTCCCTGGAGCACGATTTGGCAGGCGCCACAACTTGAGTGTTAGTGTTGTCGTTTCACTTTTGTGAAATATATATTATTTCACAAAAATTATTTTATTATTATATATATGTATATACATATACATTTTTTGTTTTATACATTTGAGTTTTTGGATTAATTACTTGTTCAAAATTTAAAATTGCCCATTAAGCATGTTAACGGAAACCGCAAAGACTACATTCTTGCTTCAACCTAACAGGAAGATCCAGTACAACTATACTGTATTTTTTGTCTCCTCTGAACAATTTTCGACACCACATGACAATTTTATTACACAAAAGCTACATTTTTTTTTTAGAATTGTCTTTATTGTTAACACTGGTCATTCAGGTGCACAATTACAAAATAGTCTCTCTCACAGAAAGAGGACAGGAAACAGTTTTTTCACTTTCACATGAAAACTGCAGACTTTCACATCACCTTGAAATACTTAAAGGGTATATACAATACCGAAAAAGGTTGCACATGGGTGCCAAACACATTTAAGGTTTAAGGTTAACATTTACTGTACATCCAATTAAGATGTAATTTTTAAATTACAAAATGAAAAACATTGAGGAAATCGAGATTTTCTTTCAGCGTCCCTTTAAAAATATCATGTCCAAATACGTCAAGAAATCAGCAACTTACTTATTCATTATTATTCACTGAAAATATATATACATCTACTGTGTGTGTGTGTGTGTGCATATATATACAGCCACCAATTCACATTATTATAATATAATCTAGTTTTTCCTCATCAAACAACAAAAATACATTATTCTAAATTTTATGTTATATACAGATGGTACTGCTCTATTTGTAGTCCACACTTGTTTCCACACTCTTTGCTCTTCTCCCCTTTGAATAATATCATAAACACTTTGACAGAATACCTATGAATTGTGATGTAGCACTGACCAGTCCATTCAACTGAGGTTTGTTGATGAAGCTGCTGTGATCAGCTGGGAGGTGGTTGTTATTTTTTGCCCTCTTTGCTCTGATGCTCCCACGGCACAGGATCATTTTCATCTGTGTTCGATCCTGTCTCCCTCTCGTGCCAGAACTGCTCCACATCAGGCAAGACAATCCCATCTTTGAGACTTACCCTGTCTGCTTCTCTTCCTCCTCCTCCCCCTCCACGTCCTCCACCTTGTTCTGGCTGGAGTTGAGCGTCTCTGCTGGGAACCTGGCTGGAGCTTGATCGAAGGCTCCTCTCCCCTCTCAGCTGGCCTGAGGTCTCTGGTCTAGGACAAGGCGACTGTAGAGTGGTAGGGTTGTGAGGTCCGGGCTTTGGCTTCTGTGGAGGTTGTTTGCGCAGGGTGAGGCGCCTCCACAGCCCCCTGTAGCCCTCTCTGAACTCCTCGGAGAGGGAGAGGACGATGAGAGGGTTCACTAGCGACAGAGAGAAGGTGAGCAGCTGAGCTGAGAGGGTTAGAAGAAGAGGAGGAGCGGAGAGGAGAGGCTGAGCTCCTTCAATTTCTTTCTCTGCTATATGACGCTCCCAAACCCACACCACCCACTGAGGAAGCCAGAGAATAGCCATAGCCACAGTCAGGCTGAATAACATCAAGGTGAGCTTCCTGGATCTGATCTGTGTACGTAGATTCTGAGTCTTACTGGAGCGGCGCTGGCACTGGCCATAAGCCCTCCAGAAATACATCAGGGAAAAGCTGAGAGGTGCACAGTACACCCCTAGGGGGTATGCTTTGACGTACACAGTCATAAAATTCCGGGCTTTAGGAGGAACCATCAGCACACACACTACCCCGCGTATCTTTCTCTGCAGTGTAGCATAGAGCCAGTGAGGGATGGTGACAGAGCAGGCGGACAGCCAGATGAAAAAGAGCACTACCAGGATGGAGCCCAGGTGGATGCTCACTTGCTTGGTGGGGTTGGACACGTAGCGGTAGCAAGCTTTGGCCATGACTGCCACTGTGAAGCTCTTCGCTGCCATGCAGGATTGGAGGAACCAGTCAGCCGTCTTGCACACCAACCATCCCAGATTCCAGCTGGCTCTGGAATAGGAAGCAGCCCTGAAAGGCATGGAAAACGCGAGCACCAGCCCATCAGCAAACATCAGGTTGAAGATGAGGGAGTTGATGAGAGACAGTTTGCCCTTATGTGAATTTGAGAACAAGATGACCATCGCAGTGAGATTACAAGCCACACCTAAGACACAGATGACTCCCAGGATAGCTGGCACCAGGACCCTCAGCTCCCCAGGGTTCAGGTGATAGAACGAGCCTCGTTCATTGAAGGACCATTTGTCTATGGAGCTGTTCAGAACAGTCATATTGTTCCCACTCAACTTATCCATCCTCTCCAGAAAGATGGTGGTCTGATATCGGAAAAAGTCAAAGGCAGCCAGGAGATGAGAAAAGGTTCTGGGTAGAAGATTTCCAAAAACACAGAAGCAGTGTAAAGACAGGCTTGGCAAAATATGTCTATAAAAATGTCCACTCTACATCTAAACCTGTTACAATAATCGTCTCAGAGAATGTATCGATTGACAATCAGTAGTCAAAGTGGAGCTCCTGTCTGTCTCTGGATATATCCAGAGAATCAATGATGCAGCTTCTGCGGCTGGTTATAAAGATGCTGTTTGATTGACAGCTGCTGTCCCCAGCTGACAAGATGTGCGTAGACCAGAGCCTCACAGGGCCAATTAGAGAAACTCAGCATAATGTGCACAGTACGACATATGAATTTCATACTGAATGTGGTATGATGTCTAATTTGTGTAAATGTCTGTGAATTGGTGGTCATTACAAAAAGGTTTTTCTTGCGGAGTTAAGAGATATTGATGCTGGGGATTTTTTTAACACAAAATCAGTGTCATCACAGCAATGGTATTTTAAGAATTATTACAAATAAAACAGGAAATACAACATTTGAAGCATACAAAAGCAACCCAGATGGATCTTGTCATTTGTTTATTGTATGAGCTATTTGGGTGGGTCAGCAACCTTCATTTGGAAGCGTTTTTTCTGCTGTTAAAATGATAAGTGTAGTAATCAGAAGAAATTAAGAAAAGTGTGACAGTTGTTAGTAATTTGAAATCAACCAACTTGTGTCCAGTTAATGGAAATCATGTGTCCTCCTTTACAAGAGCGAGACTGCCTTTACATGTCTTACTCTTGTCCACATGAGGGCGCCATTGCACCATAAGCATCAATGAACATAGTCAGGATGTGATACATTAGATTTACAGTGGCAAGAAAAGGTATGTGAACCCTTTGAAATGACCTTGTTTTCTGCATTAATTGGTCATAAAATGTAATCGGATCTTCATTTAAGTCACAAATGTAGATAAGCTAAGCTAATATCACACAAACAATTATGATCTTTTGTGGATTTATTGAACACATCCATTAAACATACTGGTATAAAAAGTAAATCAACCCTTGGATTTAATAACTGGTTGAACGTCCTTTAACACCAAAAACCTCAAAGACGCACTTCCATTAGCTGCTGATCAGAACTCCTCAGTGTTCAGGAGGAATTTTGGACCATTCTTAATACAGAACTGCTTAAGCTCAGTCATATTCTTAGGATGTCGGGTATGAGTGGCTCTCTTCAGGTCACTCCACAGTGTATCTGTTGGATTAAACAATCCAACAGGTGGTTATTCTTTGAAGTCATTTTACTTTGATGTTTAGGGTCATTGTCCTGCTGCGTCACTCAGCTTGATAATTCATATTCCCCGGCAAAGCAGCTCAAGTCACAATGCTCCCTCCACCAAACTTCACCTCTGGGATGATGTTTTCATGTTGGTGTGCAGTGACCATCATACCTAGCGCTGCATGTTCTTCCCAAACAGTTCAACCTTAGTTTTATCAGTCCACAAAACATTTTCCCAGTAGTGTGGAGTCAACGTGCTCTTTGGTAAACTTTAGGGGTGCAGTGATGATGCTTTTGGAGAGCAGCAGCTTCCTCCTGCTCTATGCAACCATGCACTATGACTGTGTATTGTAGACTAATGAACAGAGATGTTATCAAGCTCCAATGCTTCATTCAAGCCTGCAGCTGTTAATCCTATGTTCTTTGTTTTATTACTGATCATTCTACATTGTGCTTTCTGAGTAATCTCAGCTAAGCCATCACTTCTAGAGAGACTGTCTACAGAACTAAATCATCCCCATTTATGGACAGTTTGTCTAACTGTGGACTGATGAAAGTCTAAACTCTATATGATGACTTTGTAACCCTTTCAGCTTCATGCAAATCAACAATTCTTAACTGTAGTCTTCTGAGATGTTTTTGTGAGGTATAGTTCACAACAGTAGATGTTTATGGTCAACAGCAAACTCAAAATGTTTAAGTGTTTTTTATAAGTCATCTGGTGTCATTGATCCAACTCCAGGTTTGATATCTCCTGACTCCAGTTACCTTTTGTTCATGTCATTAACGTAGGGGGTGCACCTAGTTTTTCCAACCTACACTGTAAATATTTGATTGATGTTTTCAGTATGGACAAGAACAATACAATGATTTGTGTGTCATTAGTTAAAACAGAGACAGCTTTATTCATTGTAACTTTATATGAAGATCTGAAGATTTTATACATAAATAAAGATAATTCTAAAGGATTCACTTACTTTTTCTTGCCACTGTATATTCAACTGAGTCAACACCCATAACAGAGGAAGTCCAACAATTAATGATTTGAAGTCGCACATCTTTATTCTTTTTTATTCAAAGAAAGTCCAGTAAGCATAAAGACTGCATGGTAATTAATTGCATTTCAATACATTCTGAGCTATAAAAGGTTTTTTTTTTTGTTTCAATTAGAAGTGTCACAAAGGAGGTTGTCTAGAAGACATTAATGTTTAAAGGAATCACACTTAATAATTCCCTGATTTCACAGAGTTCATTTAGACCTTTGACTGCTTTCCTTTATAGGAGCTGGCTCATAACACAAATCTGAGACAAGTGAGATCAGAGAGCCAAGTGCTGAAACACAACCTTCTACCAGCTCACGTCACCCATCTTCACCAAGAGGAGGAACGTGGACAGGCACCACAGCAATCTTAAATCAAACTTTTTTAAACTGGCTCCTTCTGGACAAAGCAAGAAACATTTTGCATAGTGCCTCAGATGATCTGTAGATGTTCAAATAACTTTATGCAGGCTATCAGCTTCATCAGATTCAGATCCAATGCATGCAAAAACAAGTTCAAGAGCTAGGCTAGCATTATGTTATGCCAAGAAATCTGAAGGTGACTTTCAGTAATATTGGACATGAAAAGGTCACGGTTTCACCATCTACAGATCATTTTAAGCACTATCCAAATAAACGTGGTGAGCGATGCAGTATTTTTCTTTTTTTTCAGCATGAATCTTGCGAAAATATTTTATTGTGGCTTTGTCGTGTCTCTGGCAAATTGATGACATCTGACTGACTGCTATGTGATAAGAGCAACAATGACTTTGTACACATCACAGCGTCCTCCCCTGAACTCACAAGCATGTAGCCAGTGCTTTAATGTAATCATGACTACACCGCTTCAAGCACTTTCTCCACTTGGGACCTCAGTGGAGCTTTTTTTGTTTTTGTTTATAGAGAGAGAAAGAGAGAAAAAAAAAAAAAAACCAAAAGAAAACTTCCTAAGTTAACATTTCATTTTAAACATTCGCACTCCTGCCTTGTACTCAGTCCCCCCCCCCTCCCGCGCCCACTACATCGAACCCCCACATACCAAAAGAAGGCACCACAGCTTCTAAACAGACTCACTGACCGAGAGAAGGACTCAATAAAACAACAGCATTAAATAAAACCATTGACACAGCCTGGAAGGGCTTCATTCACATTACAGACTACAGCAGTCTCAGCAGGGAGACACAGAATTGGTGCTAGAAAGACTGACCGTGTTGTGTCACAGGCAGAGAGAAACACTTAGTTTCTGGGGTCAGAGTTAACAGTCTCTTCCTCTTCTGTAGGAATTCTGCAGCAGGTTACACTGTCCAAAACTGTGATCACATGCACTGTAGCATGAGCAGAGTGAAAGAGAGGGGGCACTGTTGCTACATGACAGTGAGCCACTGTCATGTAAGCTTGGTTTCTGTCTGTGTGCTCTATTTTGTGTCGAGTGTACCCACATCAGCCCCTTTCTTCAGGGTCCAGAGGGCTGCTACATCATGTTATTCATGCAGCAATCCTCTTGTTGCATAAATGCAATTCACTTCCTTAGATGTCCGCATGGCTAAATAAATTAAAGTATAAGTCACATTGAAGAATGACAGTCCATTCTTGATTTAAAGGAATTTTTTTTCCTCAGGTTGTATCCAGGTTGTGTCAATTCCCCGCTTCCCAAAATTCATACAGTCCACTTCAGACACTGGATACTCAGCCGAGCTGCAAAATTGAAGACCAGCAGCAACAAGACATAGGGAGAGGACGAGAAGGATGTAGATAAGGGCTCTATCTCTCTACTTCTCCAACCCTTCCTCTCCCTGTAGCCCCTCACATGTACGGGGGCCACGGGTCAGCAGGGCGCAGATTGCCCTTTAGTTGACCTTGTCTTGGAAGATGTAGAGGTTGTTGGTGGCAGCTACAGCGATGATGTTCTCATGTGGGTGCCACGTGGTGTGTAGGATCTTCTTGCTGAAGTCTAAGCTGTCTACACTGATCTCATCCTTACGGCGTTTCCCACCTACACACACCTGGAGGACAACAGATGGGATAAAGAGGCATTAAGATGTGATTTTAAAGTGCACACTAGAACATCTAAGTGTGATTGTTGAATCTACTGCCGCCGCTGCCTCTGACTTTTTCAGGATGTTTTCATGGTCAAACCAAGGGACATGAACACACATGAAAAAATATAGGTATAAAAGTATTAGTAAAAAACCATCAATAACTGGCCACACGGACACAACAATTGTTGACCATGTGAAGAATTTCATCATGGGCCAGTAGTCCGAAAAGTTCATTTCTGTAGCCTTCAAAAAAATTTCAGATATTAGTGATTTTATGCACAATTAATTAAAAAATTCAGACCAATTTATTATTAGAGATATCAACAAGCTGCTTAAATTGTCTGGTCATGCCTGACATTACCGAGTGGAACCATGTTTCCAGCCATCAGCATCTCAGTAGTTATTTGTCTTGAGCAAGATTTGTTTTACTACCATAGTGCCCCCCTAGTGGCGAAATTGCATGAAATTCGACAGCTTGATTCATGTTCCTACTCTATACACTTAGTGAAATTTGGTTGCGGTTGGATGAAGCTTTCAGTCAGCCAATCATGGAAAAACAATTGCAAGTTTCCTCACTGTGGGATTAATAAAGGACTCTCTTATCTTAAGGGATATCTGGCTCATCTGAACATGATATGTATCAAGTTGGTGAAGCTTGGATAAAAGACACCAGAGAGGGAATCAAAAGTAGGCCTATGCAAATTTTCATGATGCAAAAGGGCGTTGTTTATATCAGTCTCTTCAGCATCATCCAAAGACACCAGTTTTCTTCTCCACCTCTCAGTTGCAAAAATATTTTGCAATATTTGTAAGCTGATTTCTCACCTCATGGTGGTGCTATTGCTACCACTATTGAGAAGGTGATGCACTGAAGTATGCGGAAGCTGTTCACCAAGTTGTAGCTTTTATGATATCATGTTTCATCATGTTTTGTTCATTTCCCATGGACAACCACTATTGGTCTTGACTGCCACAATTCATATAAAATTGACTTACAGATATCTGCACCAAGAGTAATAACACACATATCCTAACCATGCTTAATATGCGAGCTTTGAAACCATGTTCCTAATTGCAAATGTGTAGAAATAGTAGTGTGACTAGTGTTTTTGGCCACTTGGGGGCAGCAGAAGAATCTCTCAAACACAACACTGACACAAGAGTAAATATGGCAAATGTGTTAACAAACAGTTGCCTATTTGCACATCCAGGAGACACAGAACAATATTATCATTCATTCAGTGTCATGTTTCTTGCCAGTGAAAAATGAAGTGGTCACGCTATTCTCTCAGCTGTGTGTTGGTCTCCACTTAACCCTGAGATAAATATGTGGCTCTTTAGCAGCTAAACGCTCCACCATGTTCACTAGATAGTAGATAAAGTTCTCTGTCTTCTGTACAGTGGCTTCATCAGAGCTTCGTTTACTGAATACAGCAGTGATGAAATGGGATTGTATGAGAGTGAACCAAAACAGTAAAGTTACGGGCTGTACAACCGAAACCCTGAGCTGATAATGTTCTCTGTGTTCACCTCTTGACAACTTTCACATTACACATAGTTATTTGATCCATTGTTAAAATAAAAATATTTATTAGTGTGGCCTTTGTTGCATGTCATACCCTACTCTCTCTCTGAATTGAGCAAATACTTGCTTCTACTAAGGATAAAGTATATTTCATTTTTAAATGTATCATGTCACTTTCCTACTATTAGTCATACCTAGTGCATAAAATTCCCACAGTTCTGCACTGTTAAGACAAGTGTATTTTGTATGTGCAATAACTGGATAATATCATAAGTAATTCTAATTTCTGTATTTTCTCTATAATGGTTCCCAGTCATCAAGGTTATAGACTGGCTGACCAGCAGTCCAAAACTCCAAAATATTTAGTGTACGATCATAGAATACAAAGAAAATCGGCAAATATTCACATTTTTGGAGGTGCAACCGCTGAATTTCTTGAGTAAAAAATTTGAGTAAAAAATTACTTAGAAAATCAATATTTTATTCTTGAAGACATTTCAGCATTTATCTAAGTAGAGTTATCTTCGACTTGATGTAGGTTCATTTGTGTTGATGAGAGTTGCTTTACCTTGCGAGGCTTGAGAATGGCTCTGGGTTTGCTGTTTTCTCTGGATGCTTCCAGTGTGACGTCACGTTTGGTGTTACGGTCAAACATTCGGAAAAAATTGTTATAGGAGCCGGTCATTATGACGCTAAGGAGGAACAGAGGAAAGTGGAGGGTTATTGAGATGGATGGATGGATGGATGGATGGATGGTTGGTTGGTTGGTTAAGTGGTCTCACCTGTCTGATCCATTCCAGACACACTCAAACTTGTCAAAGATGCAGTCATTCTCATACAGAGAACAAAGTTTGCCCCTTAAATAGTCGTGAACCTGAAAACAAAAACAAACAAAAAATGATTATGGAAAACCGGTTGGTGGATTATGATCACAGTTTTCAAGCATCTAAAGTTTGTTACATTGCCTTTCAGTGGTCAACCACACAACCATAAGCTGCAGTACCATATGCTCCACTTTCAGTAATCCCTCCAGACCTGGTGACCTATGCTAAGATGTTAGGTAGCAGGTGGAGGCGGAGTTGGAATTGGATAGAGAATCCCTTGAGTCCAGCTGATGGCCTTATCAATCATGACCTGCCCTAAGATGGCGTCCCCTGATCAGACAGTGTGGATGTGACCTCAGTGACCACACAGTGGGAGGTTTTGCCCTTCAGGTTGCATCAGCACTGACGCTATCCGTCTTCTCTTACGGACAGTCGGCTCAATAAGCCCTCCTGGGGTTATCGCTAAGGATGACACACTGACAGTGCAACACGATTATATTGAGTGATTAGTCTAAAATCAATAGGTTTTGATTTGATCCAGGCCTAACTGTTATCTACTAACTTCACCAGCTGAGAGTTATCTTTGGAGGCTTTCCGACAGGCGCATAAAAGCATGATGAAACCATACCTGGTATGTCTCTAGTGGTTTGTTCTCCATTTGAAGGTCCCACACCTTGACAGTGAGGTAGTCCCTTGTCATCAGATAGCGCCCATTGTGGCTGAACTTCACGTCTGAGATGGATGAGATGATTTCAGAGAAAAAGGAGCGAGTGGAGGGATCCTCTGGCTCCTCAAAGTCTACGACAGAAAAGAGCAAAAAGCAGTCATCTTCTGACAGAGAACACTTTTTCACACCATAGGAGGTCGCCGCTTAAAAGAGATATTCTTCCTTCAGCAAGTCTTTTAATTTTTCACAGCGAGAAAACACAAAGTAGATTTTGTTTGTGTGGTGTGGGGCCGTCATTAGCGAACAATAACACCCACAACAATGCCTGGTTTTTTGCGGCAGCTGCATCTCTTCACAGGATTACTTCTCTGTGTGTTTAGGGAGACAGTCGTGGGTCAGCATGCTGGGTAAATATTGGTTATGATTCATATTGATTTTGGCAGCTGCTGATCTGTGTGCAGGCCAACACCCCGGGGATGAGAGCCAGGCATTCCATCGTTAGCTGTCGAGTTATTGTTCCTCCTCCTCTTCTCCCCCAACAACCCCCCCCCCCCGCGCTCTTCTCTATCTCTCCAAAAATGCCCACTACCATCCTCCTCCCTTCCCTCTCCTCCCTCCTCCTCAGCCAAGGCCTGGAGAATAGCTCTGTGATGTGTCAATGGGGAGTCTAACAAGGGATGCCGTGTAAGAGATGAAAAAATGGGGGGATGAGGAAGGGATGAGAAAAACAAATCAATGTCAAAGTCTCGGGCCCATTTGAGCCCCTCTAGATTTGTGCGTGTGTGTCAGTAAATGAGTGTTTGTGTATAAGTGGGCGTGTGCAGTGTGTGCATATATGCATGTGTGTGCGGCACTGCTCTCCCTCCCCTCCCACTCCAGGGGTGTATAATAGGGTCCCTGGGGAGTCGGCAGCGGGGCTTTTTGGTCCCTCTTTCTCTGTCCTGGGGCTTTGGCAATCCTCTCCTATCCCTCCATCCCTCCCTCATCCATCCATCCATTCTCGCTCTAACGCTGATTGATACCAGCAGCCTCCCAGATTTATAGGTATGGGAGGGGGCACAGTATGATTGTGTGTTTTTGTTGTTTACGTAGGAGGTGCAAGAAGGTTTTTGTGTGTATCCATGTTAAGGAAGGTGTGGATGTGTGTGTGTGTGTGTGTGTGTGTGTGTGTGTGTGTGTGGTGTGTGTTGTGTGTGTGTGTGTGTGTGTGTGTGTGTGTGTGTGTGCTGTGTGTGTGTTGATGGGAGGGAGGGAGGGAGGGAGGGAGGGAGGGAGGGTGGGCATTATACATCGCTCTGAGCCATACACGTTCATGCAGGGAGACAGTAGGTCGGTATTAACAGACCCGTCCTCAGGCTAACGAGAGCACCTGCCTGCTGCGGGAGGATCTGTGTGTGTGTGTGTGTGTGTGTGTGTGTGTGTGTGTGTGTGCGCACTGTGAGCACCTGTCAAGGAATGGCACACACAATACATACCAACATCAAACAATGAGAGGAAAGCTGTGAATACCACAACTTGAAATGTAGTAACAAGTCTCTCAATTCCAGTTCTTATTTAACCCTCAAATGCTCATGTGAAATTCAACAGGCCGTGTTAGTGCACGGTCCAGTGAACGCATCAATATGTCTGAGGAAATGACTGACATTATTGAACAACAAGGTGCGTCCATGAGGGACTAATGTGATTGCCCTTAAGCCATTGATTTTCCAGCGAAAATGTCAATGTAGTCATTATTCATTCATCCAAAGTGTATGCATGTGATGTTCAGCTTTAGAGAAGGCCATTCATTGTTTGAGACACACACACAGATTTATTGATGGGTTATCAATCCTGGCATATTGAGCAGGGGGACGGCTGCATGTCACTGCCACACAAAGGTGGTGCTGAGGCAGAAAAACTGAGTGTGAATTTGCGTTTTGCGTTTGTGCTGCCATGTTGTACGTATATCTGTCTTTGTGTTCTCACAGTTCTATCGTTCTTTGTTTTGGCATACATCTACAATTTTACATGAACCTGCAGCACTCTCTCCTGTTTCCATCCCCCCATTTAGTTTAAAGCTGATCATAATGATGCTACTACGAAGCTACCCTTGAGGACACCAAGGTCACGTCCTTGAGGTTGTTTCAGGGAATTTGGGGCATTTTCACAGCCCGGAAAAGGCATTTACATTCTACAGTTGCATCCAATGGGTTTCTTTAGACTGGCTCTAATGTTTCATAGACTAAATATGGAAAGGAAATAAAATGAATGGATTCAGTATTTTAGCTGAGTTCAATACAGTGCAACCACTTATCCCCACATGGACAATTTTATGCAGAAGCCTGCAAAAGAGAAGGCTTTGAAGCAACATTTAGATGATAGAGTAGGGATATCAAATTTACAAACAAACATTGATCATGACCACAGTATTTCTGAAATCTTGGCTACAGCCTTGCTACCACTATTAACACTAAACACAATGAGGTGCCATCAAATAAAAATCGTCATAGAATAAAAGTGATTATACGTAAGAAAATCTGAAGTGTTTTGCAAGATTTGGTAGGCTAATTTCCTTCCTTTTAACTCTTTAACTTTTTTTTTTGATCATTTTCCTAAAATGCACTGTCTTGATACTCACATTTGCAGTGCTTGTCGCAGAGTGCGGCCTGTCTCATGTCACAGAGGCGTATTGAGCCCTTGCTGCTGCTGTAGGCAAAGGTGTGACACTGCTGGGGATGAAACTCTGCCGAGGTGATCACTTCCGTCAGCTCCTCCATGTTGGCTGGTTTGATGTCTACAATGTCTGAGAGACGGGCACTAAGGACAAACTCTGACTTTTAGACAGCGGCTGTGGACTATTATGATTCCTTCAGTGGTCAGCTAAGACAAAACTCAGATAAATCACTATTGGCGCCTAAACGTAGAAAAAATACACAAATAAGAGGATACTGAAGCTGCGATCAGTGATCTCCAGGTTCCACAGGTTCACCCTCAGGTCGTCAGTGGAGATGTATGTCTGAAGGTCGGAGTTGACAGAGATGGAGTTGATGTGGTAGGTGTGGGCATTGCTGAAAACACGCCTGGCAGTAGCCTCAACCATCAAGTCCATGGGCTGCAGCACTGGCACCTATTGGTGAAGACAGGTCAATTAGAAAAGGAGAAAAGGAAATGCAGAGAAAGAAGATTTATATTTAAGGCTGGTTGGATGGATGCTGGTTTCCTAGAGGCTTTTTTAGATATCTATCTGTGTATGTGTGGTTGTGCATGCACATGGTTTCTAGTGTGCATAAATTTTGTGTGCTTGGATGTACAACGTGGGTTTGTGTGTACATGTATGTGTATATATGTGTGTGTGTGTGTGTGTGTGTGTGTGTGTGTGCATGTGCATGAGCCACAACCATATGACTCCAGGGATTCATATGACATTTACTCCACAAATCTTAATGAAACAGAGACAGCGACTGAGGGGCTCTGGGGCTGTTTGATGAGCTGGTTCAATCAGACTGTGAATATCTGTTTGCTACACGGCTACTCAGTGATCACACCGCACTCACCCCTCCCCACTCTCTCTCGCTCTCTCTCTCTCTCTCTCTCTCTGCCCTGCTTCGTGTATTTGCTGAGGAACTCTCTCCTCTTGTTTGTGTGTGAGACAGAAAAAGAGAGAAAGCAGAGGAGGTGGAAAGAGAGATGGCCCGAGGGCATCGCTAGGCCCTGCTGAGGAATGATAACTGAACTCTGCAGAATTAAGACGAGCTCTCTCACACACACACACACACACATACACACACACACACACACACACACACGCACACAAACACACACACAGTTGCACAGTGCAGCTCGGGCTTCAAAGACACCCAGCAACCAGTCTGCATGCAGCCCCCCGTTGGCCAGATAAAACCCAGACAAAGAGAGAAGGGAGGGGAGGGAGAGAGGAGAACAAATCGACTGCTTCTTCCCTTTTTCCCCTCGTCCGTTGCTGGCACTGACAGAGAGACATGGCAGCCCAGCAGGCTGCTGTATCTCCATGGGTGTCACTTCATTTCCATGTCTTTCACTGGCTGTCCAGAGAGACATGGACCGTATTAACCCATAACCCCTAAACATTGACAGTTACACTGTTCAGTTTGCCCCTGCACCTTGGAAACAACCTAATAGATCCTCTTCCTTATAGTATGTAAAACAGAATATTTGACATAAATATAATCTTTCTTTAAAAAGTAACCTATACTATTATACTACTAAAAGCAGTTTTTCCTTTTAAAGAAGCACATCCCAATTAGATAAAACACAAAAAGTACATATTTTACACATATTTTAGGTCCTAAGGAGATACTAAATGATAAACTCATTTTTTGTTTTATTTATTTTTTTGGCTGCACTTAAGACTATTTTTGAGTTCCTCCCTCTCCTCCTCTGCTTTCTCGCCCTGCACAGATTTCACAGCCTCTAAACAGGATTGCCACAGTCCCAGCCTGTCCTCCAGGTTGCTATGATCCCCTGGCCAGCCAGACAAAGAGGGACAGACACGCTGAACACAGCACTAATCTACTATGGCAGACGCACACACACACACACACACACACACACACGCACACACACACACACACGGTGCCCTACGTGCCTGCTTGCTTTGTGTGAAAATGAAAGTGGTATTGGAGTGATAAGAATGAGAGACAGCGAGAGGATGATCCTTTCATGGTCTTCACCTCAGCGCACATATAGATCACTCATTCTCACTTTCCTCTGCCAGTCTAAGTTCAAAACTGTCGAGTGCGTTGGATGGTGTCAGACTGTCATTTATCAGCACTGCAAAAGGAGCAGATGATGATCTGCAGGTATTTAAAAGAGAAAATGTATCGACTTTGAGATATATATGTATATATTTATAAGACAGGTCTATTCAAAATTATGGCACTTTGGCCTTCCAATTCTGCTACCACCAGCAGCTTGTTAGCTTAGCTTAGCATAAAGACTTGAAACAAAGGGAAAACAGCTAGCCTTAGTTAACAAAGTTAACCAAATTCACATAGTAGCACCATTGAAGCTTGCTAATTAACATTTTATAGCTCATTTGTTTAATCTGTACAAAAAGTTGCATTTTTACAATATGAAATTATTATTAGTGATATTTGTAGCCTCTGGCAGCTGGATGTTGTTTCTTTTGGTGGGGCCAGGCTCACTGTTTTCCCCCTGTTTTCTGTCTTTATCTTAGCTAACTGGCTACTAGCTTTAGCGTCATATTTACTGTACAGACATGGGAATGGAATCAATCTCTTGGCAAGGAAATGAGCAAGCATATTTCCCCATAATGTCAAGCTATTCCCTTAGATACCATGTGTGTGGTTGGGAAGACAGTAAGGATTTACTGGAATTGTGCTCTTTCAACATTAGCAAAATAAAGGATCGATAATATATAGACAAAAAGATAAAACATATTACAAAAGGAAATTATTTAGATTGTTCTTTTACATTAGGAAAAGTAGCCTATGTCAGAGATATAAAATCAAAAGAAATCAGAAATCCAATCAGAGAAATACAATAAAAACATAAATGGAACATTTCCAATGTCTGCATTGGGCCCATAATGACTGTTACATTAGTATAATTCATGATGCATTCTGAAGATTAAAAATTATCCACTGTCATTATCAATATAGTGGCAGGAAGTTTTCTGATTGTACATTGTACACCCAACACTTCATAATCACAGTGTTTTAGTTTCCATTTTCAGCCTTTCTCTCTAAAAGAAGCTTGAAAGGTTCCTGATGCTGTACTTTGAAATGGTTTGTTTTGGTTTCCATTCAAGAATAATCTGAAATTTTCTGATCTTTCCCTTGTCGTCAGATCGTAACTTGCAATTTGACTCCGAGCAAAACAGTAAGACACCAGCAAGATAAGGCATAGAGACGTTTACCAGAGAACATGTGACATAGTTGGGTGATGTTAGACCTTATAGTTTTTTTGTGACCTCTTCTTACCCGTAGCGACGTGATAGTCGATGGGTCTCTGATCCGTCCGTCCTCATCCTTCAGGTTGTAGCCCTCCGGACGCTTGTCTCTCTCACTGATCTTCCACAGCTTCACTGTCTTGTCTGGGATGGATACATCACACAAACACACACACACACACACACACACAAAATACAGTTAGATCATGGCTCACTACAGATTCTCAGATACAAGATGGATGCAGGGGGGTTGGGCAGCCAATCTGGCATGAAGCTGGGCAGGAGCCAGTGAGGATGATGAATGGCGGCTCCTGTGTAGATTCTGATGTCACTGATATCAATCTACAAGTTGACTACATTTCCCTGCTGCAGTATAGGCTCCCCCTGAAAAAGCCATCTGGGCGTTTTTCAATTCTGCTTCACATAAACACCAGTTACATCCCATCTTCTCGGTCGAGTGAAGGGGGTAGCAGCAGCAGTCAGTGTGTTGTTGATTCTTTTTTTTTTTTTTTTCTTTTTTTAATTTCCACTGTGAATATTGGTGTCAGAGCAGCGAGGCCATCGCCACAGGACCCTCCACCATCTGCTCCAGCCACTGCTAGCACTTCTGTAGCAGCCATGCATGAAGCCCACAATCTGCAAGATGTCTCACTGCTGATGTGTATGTCTGCTTCAGCCAGCGTGCATGTATGGTGTGTGGTGGCACATGGTGTGTGTGTGTACGTGTGTGTGTGTGTGTGTGTGTGTGTGTTCTTGCTGTGGCAGCCATGCATGAAGTCCTCAATCTGAAACACTTCTGCTGGTAGCACTCGCTCAGTCAAGCAAAACAGCGATACATTCACAGAAACGGTCAAAAAGACATTTTTATGTGATATTAATAACATCTCCTTTTATATGAGCTGTACGTCTGACCATGGTGCGAAGTGAGGGATGAATCATGCCTTAAGTTGACACTTTTAGTGACTAACAGCAATACTACACCCACATGTAAACACTACTGTCACGATAGATTTATGGTTCCTTTGACCATTTTGCCACCTGTGTCGCTCCTACAGTAGCAGGTTAACTGACCATTGGTGGACAGCAGGAAGTAGGCGGCATTCTGCTGAGGAAGCCATTTGATCTTGTTGATCTTCTCCTCGATCTCCAAACTCTTCAGGTAGTCAAACTCCGGCTCGTGGCTCTGGAATGTGCTGTAAACATTGTACTCCCCTCGACGCTGGGGCTGGCTCTTGCTCTGAATGAGGAGGAAGGGAGGGAGAAACAGTCAGAGACTGACATGTTTGCTGTTCATTTCATAAGATTAAAGCAGTGTTTACCTCAAATTTGGGTATGGAGAATTTCATTCTTTAAAGCAAATGTTTGAAATTTTAGGAAATATGCTTCGAGTTCGAAGAGAAAACCAATAGCACTCTTGTATCTATCCGTTAAATATGAATATGAATGGTTAGCTTAGCCCAAAGACTTTAAATAGGGGGAAATGGCCAGTTGCTTTATCCACAGGCAAAAAAATATGCAACCTAAAACTAAGACACAACTTTCCAATTTCCCATAATTGCAAACTATTGAAAAACTATTACATTTTCACCCGTGCTTGTTTATTTGTCAGCTGGATACACAAAAAGCCCTGAGCCGATGTGAACTGAACTTAATGGAGGGATGTGACGTGGGCCGGGGAAGAACAATTTTTGTGGCAGATCCATTTACTATAAATTAGATTTTTTTTTCTCTTAAGTCTATTGTATGTTGTTTGACATTAGCTTGGCAGAGGTCTAGTTATAACAAGATATCATAATTATCTCTTGTGTTATTTTACACTCTTTACATCCCTTTGAATTGTTAGTTATTTTGACATGATAGCATTATTTTTGCTATTCATTGTATTTATTTACTTATTCTAGTGCAGCTATATGCCATTTACATTTACACTGAGTGAACATTTAACACAAACAATACTATACTTTTGTGGCTTTGTGTCTCCATAACATGAAATGTTTGGCATCATTGGTAACCTTGGGGTTGTAGCTAGAACTCAGGTTTCAAACCATGCTTCTCCATGTTACATGAGTTTATAACGATGGCTCATCCAAAATCCGCTTGGTGGTTAAAGAGATTTTTCTTTGTGGTTTTTTCTTTGCCGTCTAGTTATTTAAAAGCAAACAATCAAACTTCAGTGTTTCAAGGCTGTCAAATCCTTTCAGCAGAAGGGCAGCATAATTAGCGTTGCATTGTTGGCATTTCCTACCTCCTGCTCCCTCTGGAAGACAACCACTCTGCCTCCTTTATCCCCGGTGGCCAACAGCTCCCCCGATGAGTTAAACTCCACCGTTGAGATAATGTCAGCTGCAACACAATAAGCAGAGCAGAGAAGGGGGGGAAATGTCAGTGTGGACGTGTAGAAAGCTGTCAAGGTATAAGTCAGACGAAAAGAAAGAGCTTTCAGTGAGGTCTGGTACAGTGACTTCTAGAAAACACATCAGAGGAAGGGAGGGGAATCTCATGACAAACCCACAGAGGACTCTCCGGCACAGATACTCTAGTTTGGTGAAATATGGGTTAGGACAAACCACTCGATGAGTCACTGCATGATATCAACTAATTCAACCCCTTGTCTCATTGAAGTGCGCCAATCCATGTCATTTAATTGCACTCTCGCTTTTTAAAGGACGCCTCCACCACACCATTCATCTCTCTCCTCTTGGCTGCGAGACCCCATGCTGCTCAGTGACTCTCCTGCTTCTTCATTAAAGAACAGTCATAAACCTTCAAACCATGCATTTCTTTACAGCTGATACATGTCACTGCCTCATTTTTTAACTTCCAATCAACAAAATATAATATATATACAAGTGCTTCATTTATTCTGCATCACCAACATTTCTCAGTGTCTCTGCATAGCTACTGTTCCACCAAAAAGTAAATAACAGACACCTACCCTTAAGGTAGCTTTTCCTCTCCTCCTCAAAGACATACATCTGCATGGATTTAGGAGAGGCTAATGGTGACTGTAATTATTATACAGCCCCGGGCTAAAAGGGCACAGCATAATGTCTGTCTCACACACACATGTGTATACACACACACACACACACACACACACACACACACACACACACACACACACACACACACACACACACACACACACACACACACCACAGCAGAGGCTAGTCCTCTGTTTAACAGTGACAATAATATTAGACAGAGATAGAGAGAGAAAGAGAGAGAGCTTGTTGTTTTGTACCCCCCACGCCCTCTGTGGACCTGCTACTGGCAGAGCACTGAACAGGAGAGGGGAATGTTGCTATGGAGACCGTTTCCATCTCTAGCGGCAGTCGTGTGTGTGTTTGTGCGTGTGTGCGTGCGTGTGCGTGTGCCAATAGCTCTCAGACTTAGTTGCTGATGCTAGCTGTAATTCAGCAGACAGAGAGAGTGCTGCAATAGAGTGAAAACCTGCTACTGCATCTGGGGGAGTGAGTGCAGTTGAATGCAGCACACAACTTCAGACAATAGAGTCCCTGTAGACTGGCTCATCTCTTCACATAAAGCTGCTGTGCATGGTGGAAATGACTAAACGTCATGTTTTCGTGTGTGTGTGTGTGTGTGTGTGTGTGTGTGTGTGTGTGTGTGTGTGTGTGTGTGTGTGTGTGTGTGTGTGTGTGTGTCTTCCCCTTGTTTCATTTAATTGTTGAAGAGAAAGCCACATTCAGAGATGTGACAAGAGGGATTCTTGTGGCCTTGCGTGATAATGACGTGATGTGGGGAGGGGTGGGCAATCCTAATCATATTTGAATCTAGAAACTAATAACATTTCACAGAGACACACTCTGACCTAATTACAGCCTGGGAGAACCCCAGTTACACACCATATTGCTGTCACATACACACTTGCACATGCACGTGAAACACACACCCCATAGTTATCTCTCTTTCTATATCTGCATGTATTGACCCCATGAATGCTCAGAGATGGCTATGTGCAAACCCCCAACACACACACGCACGCACACACACACACACACACACACACACACACACACACACACACACACACACACACACACAATGGTGTCTTCCCCAGCACCATCAAGCCAAAGCCACTGGTGTGAATCGAATGGAATCGGCTTAGCAGTCAGCATTCTTGAGTCAAAGCCTGTCCCCCTCTCTCTCTTTTTGTCCTTCATACTTCTCTCTTTTTCTGTCTCCCCCACTCCCTCGCTCCTCTCTCCTTCCCTCATCATCAACACATTAAGTCGCTGAGGAGAAACAGTAATTGATGGATGCCATTTAACGAGTTTACACACGAGTACATCCTTCAATCATCAGTGAATGAAGAATTGGGGAGAGCCAGTGAGCTGAAACTCCAAGTAACGTGATGGAACGCTTCCCTAAATGAGTTTTTCCTCATGCAAATGTATTCAAACTAGACAAGGCAATCTATTCAACCTCAGCCTCTGATGGAATTGTGTTAAAATGACATGCAGTTTTTTTTACAAATGAAATTTCGTTATAGAGAACAAATTGATTAGCAGCAGAGCTGCAGGTGGGCGGTGTCTCCCGAATGATTTCCGCTTGCATCAGATCAGATTTTTATTACGTGAGCATCACCAGGTTCAAGGTGGAGTGGGATTAGCAGAGGGCTGGTGATTCGGCTGATCAAGTGTGTACTTACGCTCTCTCTTTCTCACACACACACACACACACACACACACACACACACACACACACACACACACACACACACACAGCTTCATCAGCAGACCATAACTAGATGAAGCCCATAAATCCTGTGGCCAGCCAGGTGTGACACAGACAGGTCACCGCTTCTTGATTCATCAGAGGGATGCTCGAGATAACACACATCTATCACCAGTAATAATGCAGACAAACCTGTCGGCCTGCTGCTCTGATGATGTGTGTATGTACGAGTGAAATAAAGCAGGCATGGCACTGCGCTTATCTGTTTCTATTCACCACCCTGAACCAAGCAATAACACCCTTCAGCATGCAATATAGAATTGGGCGTCAAACCAATTGGATGGAAATATGCATTGATTCTGGAATGAAAACTGTGAAACACAGAGAGGGGAGTGAGGATATTGAATGTAGTTATAGATGCCCGAGCATGCAACATCTATCACGCATAACAGAAGGGGCCACTAAAAGAAATGATTGTGAGGGGGGAAATCTGGGGATGGAGGTTTGTTGCTCTAAGTAGGTCAACGAAAAGATCGTACAGTGAGTCTCATCGGTACAGACACAAGCAGACCAAAATAGGAGCGCCCCGGCTAACCTCTAGACAGCAGATAATCCCGTCATGGGTCAAAAAAAAAAAAAAAACAAAAAAAACAAAACAAACCGAGGCTTGATTCGGTGGCATTGGAGGGTTGTGTAAGAGACACAGACCCAAAATGGTGTGACTGCATGGAAAGCTAGTTGCGTAAGTGTCGTGCAGTAATTCCAGGTAGAGGGAGGGACGTGAGCAACATGGTATCGTGTAAACGCTTTGTTAGCGTTAGATGTGGAGAAGAGAGGATTACAGCACTTGTGCTGAGCTGCCTGCGTCAAAGGATCAGGCCGGGGAGATAATTCAGGTCCGTTCTCGCACTCTCTTTCACTCGCCGCTCTCATTCCTTCTGTGATAATCAACAAATCAGTCAGCGCTTCTTTTCTTCCAGGAACACGAATGCACACATGCATCTATCAGAAATTTCTGTACATAAAGACATAAACACTATTTCTGTGCTGAATAAGCAGCTGATAACGGCTTCATTTCACACCAGCAAACATGGAGATCAATCAAAATTTTGAATAAACCCTACTACCAACTGGTCTGGTACCCAGCCATATGATTAAGGGTTTATTAGGCTTTATTAGCTGCACACAAAGCAACGGAGCACAACGCAGCTCTCTTCATCTGAAGAGCATGACTCTTTGTAAGATCTGGAGTGAACAAGCTAATTAACCTGGTTTCTCCAGGATCAGTCCCATGAGAATGAGACAGGGCGTGTGTGTGTGTGTGTGTGTGCTTTTGTCTTTTGTGTGTGTGTGTGTGTGTGTGTGTGTGTGTGTGTGTGTGTGTGTGTGTGCACGTGTGCGCGCGCACACGCTTTTCTGTATCCCCACACTCCCCACAGGGAGTTGAGGGTGAAATGGGCGAGACGTGTTACTGCTTCACTTCTCACACTTCATTAACACATCGGTGTGGCACACATCTGACGACAGACACAACACAGGACAGGGCGAAACAGAAGAAAGAGTGAAATAAGTTTATGGATTCCTGCAAGCACTAAGCTGAGTACCAAGAGGAACCGTTTCAGATGCTTGTTATTTGGTATTCTGTTAGAAATTGAAGATGGAGAAGGGGGGGAGGCAGGGAAGGGGGGGCACACAGAATTATAATCCACCTCCAAAACAAAAGATGGCTCTCCCTTTCTATCTGTCTGTCTGTGTTCCTTTGGTGCAATCCCTTTCATCTTCCCTGTTTTCAAGGCTGGAATGAATCAAAGATGAGAATGCTGCTGCACAGACTGAAATCATGTCTCTACAATGACCTTATCACCAAAACACGTGGCATTTCGAGTGACGCCACTTTACTCAACACAGGAATTAGCTATCAAAACTTACAAATGTATCCCATTATAAAGTCCAGAAAGGTCAAACACTGCTTAGCCTGCAGGCTAGCTGTGCACCAAGTGACTCTCACACAGGAAATCTATCACAGCAGCACCTCAAATCCACTGACCAGGAAGCTATTTTGCATTTGAGAAATAGGATATTTTTTTGCAATCATCCTACAGTAGCAACACCACGGGTATTCTTTAATAAATTCTCATTAAATTTTCATGGAGCTGCAGACTTAATAAGAAGCTAATCAGGGGATGAAAGCAGCTGCTGAATAAGGAGTGTGACTCGCCCCAACTTCACAGCTTGCCATTAAGCATCCGCCACCCCCATACCACCCCCATACACACACACACACACACACACACACATAGACATTATCTTTCTTGTGCTATGTGCCGAGGCGGGGCTCTGCGTTTTGAGTGTTTCATAGTGAATAATGGATGGGACCTGGGGGTATGGTGGGCTAAGTCTTTTTTATGCCGGAGTCCTAAAGTGTGGCCCCAGGCCGTTTGCCTTGGCACAAGCAACCAGGCTCGCCTCAGCTCTCATCAGCAGCAGCAATAAAGGCTGTAAGCTCTCTGTTACAGGACTGCATCAGTATTCAGCGGGGCTGGAGGGGTCACATCACACACAAGCTTGTACTCGCATCAGACAGACATATAAGCAGCAAAGGCGAGAGAGCGAAAGAGAGACAGAGGGGGCTGGGGAGAGAAGGAGGAAGGGATTACATGTCCTACCAATAGATCTTCAGGTCATTGTTCCGGTAGCTAAATTGTAAAGGACCAGAAATCAATACCACAGCAGACATTAGGTTAGGTCCTGCCTCACAGCAAGGAAGCTATTTACATTTTTTCACCCAATGTGGTGTTCTGTTATTTGACAATTTCATTCTATTGTCGAGCCCATTCAAGGTGAAGATTACGAAAATTAACCGAGACCCATGTTGTAGGAGTGTAACAGTCCATTGACTCAACACACACTGATACACACGGCTGCAGTCAGACATACACACGGCCAAGAAGAAACATCCATCCCGTCACCATCAGCGATGTGGCGACTGGTGAATGAAAATTAGACTTTATGGTAATTTTCTTTCAACTAAACAACAATGTTTCTGGAAACTTTGCTTTAAGGTTGAGGAAACTTTTGAAATTTCATACCCAACTATTACATGACGAGCACAGCTTTGGTCACATTAGTGTGCGTACACACACAGTCAGTGTAGCCGCCCACACACCCATTGAGGCGTGGGATTGGTGCTAGGCAAAGGTCAGCAAGAGTGACATCATTAAAATGTGACATCATTAAAGTGTCCTGCTGCTGTGGGCAAGCACAGCCTGAGGGAAATCCTTACCAGCTCACCACCAATCATAAGGGACCCTGCTGTGTGTGTGTGTGTGTGTTGTGTGGTGTGTTTGTGGGATAGTGTGTGTTGTGTTGTTGTGTTGTGTGGTGTCTGTGTGTGTTGTGTGTGTGTGTGTGTGTGTGTGTGTGTGTGTGTGTGTGTGTGTGTGTGTGTGTGTGTGTGTGTGTGTGTGTGTGTGTGTGTGTGTGTGTGTGTGTGGTCTGAATGGACTGGGCCTGATGGAACATGTGCACTTTGTTGAATTTATGATGGGCGACGGACCCAGACACCGGCCCGTATGATCCTTGGCTGCAGACTGACTTCATACCATTTAGGAGACACAGAGTGAGAGAGTGAATGGACACACACACACACTCATTCATGATATATGAGGTGTGACGATCAGTCATAAATTATAGCCATAAAAAATAACAAAAGTAGACTCTCCTTGTTTGGAAAGCGCAGATGGGCCACAGACTAGACAGTCCTTTGCTTTAAGGAGACACATTTTACAACCTGTATAACTCTAATCCACTTTCTCTTGATCAAATGAAAGGGACAGAGTGAGACAGAGAGAAGGAGAGACGGGAAGAAGCTGGAAGAAGCTCCCCTCCTGTTTTTCATCTCAGCGCACACATCAAACAAAGATATCCATCACTCCCACTCCCACCCCCACTTCACTTCCTCTCGCTATGAACCAGTCACTGTGTGTTTAGCAGTGACAGGGAGTCATCTGTAAGTGCCGGGAGCTCAGCAAATGATGATGCTCTCCTGTATTTAAATGAAAAGAAAAAAAAACATTGAGGAAAGGAGCAGGAGAATGAGACTGTCTGTCTTCTGAGCTTTGACTTTGTCTCTCCTCCAACCTGCAGTGGCATCAGTAACCTGAGCTGGTGGCAAATGCAAGAAGCCATTGTGGCTCTGACCCACCCTGCAGCCACACACAACCCTCCAACAACCTCTATTCTACACCAGTTTTCTATCCTGTAGAGAAATGACGTAAAGGTGCTATTCGATAGCTCAATTATGGGATGCTCCATCATATTTCAGATTAAAACCATTTTCTATTTTGACCGACTTTGTTTCTTTTTAAACCTTATGGTAAGTGGGTGGTAAAAAATGTGTGTGGTGTGAAATGGATTAAAGGCTTCCCCAGTGCTGCAGAGACTATTAATGCAACTGACCAGTCTTCAAATACAATACAGTGCATGGGATTTAAGCCAAACAATGAAGACAAAAAAACATTCCACATGGCTGCACAATAATCAATAATAAATTATCTCTCAAGAACAGAATAATTGTTAAGAAGATAGTGGAGCTGCAACGCTTGGTCCATTAATCATTTTTCCCAACTACTTTCATAATCATTTCATCGTTTTAGTGCTTTTTCAATGCCCAAATATTCACTGGTTCCATCTTCGCTAATGTGAGGATTTGATGCTTTTCTTTGTCATATACAACATTAAAGAAAATAACTTTCGGTTTTGGACTGTTGGCTGAATAAAACAAGCAATTTTGAATACAATCACCTTTGCTGCCTGCAATTAATCCAGAAAATAATCAGCAAATGAATCAGTAATGAAAGTAATCATCAGTTGCAGCCCTAGAACAGAGACATCTACCTTTGTAACAGAGGCTTATTGAAATCTTTTATTAATCTGAGGTAAAAGATATACATTCATGTTTAAAGCTGCCACTGTTTAATGAAAGGCTCTTAATCCCCAACGCTTTTACTGACATCAGCAGTTAATGTCTATAACCGATCTGCATTATTAGTATATGGGGACCGAGGTGGTAATGAGATGAACGATAACTGTCAGTGTTTTACGTTGATCAGTGATCGAAGCAGCTTGTGGAAGGCAGGTGGAGCTGATTGGTGGAGCATGAGGGAACTGTTAAGCATCAAACAGTAAACAGGCTGATAATCAAGAGGCTGATGTGTGGTCAATGAGGGGGAAACACACTCATGTGCAGGGGCAGCTTTTATAGCTCTGCACGTAACAGCTATTGTTCAGTGCTTGGTTTTGTAGATGTACAGTAAAGAGGCGTGTGTGTTTGTGTGTGTGTGTGTGAGAGAGAGAGAGAGAGAGCGAGATCCATATTTCAATGTGCTGCCCCCTCCTAAAATTAGGCCACCTTCCCTGCCTCTGTCTCATTCTTTCAACAAGTGAACACAGAATGATGAAAATACATTTTTTTCATCATTCATTTCATCATTTCTTTTAACTGCTTTTTAAACCTGCTCTCTACAGACTCCAGACCCTGTAGCAGCTGTGAAGAAGGCTTTATTCCCCTGCTCCCTGTAGTCCATATACAGATCTAAGCCCTGATTCCCCTCGGTCAGGATGGTCATCCTAAAATAGCAGGTATAACGGGAAGCCACCTCATCATCTCCTGCTATTGACACCACACACTACCCTACTAATCTGAATGTTTATGTGAAACGACCAGAATATCCCTTCTTTAATATCCTTACAGCAGCTTATGGTGCGATTAAATTCGCTTTAAATGACCTGTATGCACTTTATGCAGAATCTATGTAAAGACTAACTCGATAATATTTATTTATTGTGGTATTTGCTTGATCGATTCCTTTAATGATCCTATACCACAGTGACTTATTTCTGCTGTGATATTAGCATCCCTCTAGCTACAGCCTCAGGTTATTTGCGGTGCTTTAGTATGAGTAACGGCTTAGTATGAGTCTCTTTTTTTTCCCCCTCAGCATCATCTGTTTAAATACCTTCGGTTGCATAGTTGTGGTCGCGAAGGAAGCTGTTGTTGATTTTCCGGGTGTCACTCTCCTCCTCCATTGATAAATCGGCTGGTTCGGGATCCTGAAAGCGGCAGACCTGCTCCCATCCTGCCCGGTACCGTCAGCAGGCGGGCCGTGGGACCAGCGGGGGGCCTGTCATGGCTCCAGCTCTCCGGTGTAATCAACACAATCGCGATCAAATACCTGTGATGATGATGATGGCGATGATGATGATGCTGATATTAATAATGATGATGATGCTGCACGGGCAGGTCCTGTCCGCACCTCAGGACGCATCCAACAGCCCACCGTCCGAGACGCAGGGACAGTTCCGATTCCACCAGTGGATGTAACAGCCTAATTATTAAAGCGCATTACGTCCTCTGCTTCAGATTATTATCTCCCCCCAAAAAAATATTAATCATCATCGCCACAGCGCGCCTGAGCAAAAAAATGAATGAAATGTTATGTCTTCTTGAAGGTGGCAGCCCGCAGCAGCTCACTCCGTAAATCTCTTTTGGAGGATTTGAGTTTAGGCAGGCTAGATTTGCCCCCTCCCAGTGCCAGCGGGGCGGGCGGGATTATGCGTCAACAAGCTTGCTTCAGTATTCCCATGTCAGACTCTCCAGAGTTGCACATTCGCCTTTCTGTATCCAGATCCTGCAAAGTGTCCTCTCTGTCGCCTTTTCTCCCTCTCTCTCGCTCTCTCTTTCTCTTTCTCTCATTTCATTCATTCATCGGAGCGCGAACCGGCGCCTGTGATCCCGGGCTGCTCAGCTGACTCACTGTGCCGGATAGCGCAGAGCTGTGCTGTAGTTACCCACTGTGCTGCTGCTGCTGCTGCTGCTGCTGCGCTTCAGCAGAGGAGGAGGGGGGGAGGAGGAGGGCCCCTCCCATGCTGCCTGGCGGCTGGCTCTTTAAAAACCACAAGCAGCGAAATGTGACGCTCAGTCGAACCACCACCACCAGCAGAGGAAGAGTTCAAAATCTGTTCACTCACAGCCTGATGACCACCAACCAGGTTCGTGCGTTTAAAGCCGACAGCTGCCTTATGGCCAAGTTAGCAGGTTGCCTCTTAAGCCTGGTAGATCCTGCACCACCATCCCTCCACCCTGCCGCAGAGACATCCATCCACACTGCACATTGTCAGAGCAGATTTAGCATTAAGTCTACTTTCTATGCTTTCCCCTCTGCATGTAGACCCAGCTCCCTTAAAGCAGCTATTCAGGAGAATACAAGAGAAGCTTTATAAGATGTGTTACACAAAGTGCATGACATGGCACATTTCTGTCCACTTACAGAGTGTGAGCATGAAGTTCAGATTCAGAGATTACCAGGAGGGCACAAAGGAGTGAGGCGAGGCAGAGGGAGGGATGAGTGGAGTAGAGGAGGAGACTGGAGAAGGAGAGAGCAACAGAGAGGGCCAGAAAGAAGGAGGAAGAAAACGACAAAAACCCAGACGCTGATTAATTAGATTAGTAGGGCTGCCGTCTGCGCCTCTTTCTGGAAAGATCTCATTTCCATGCTGAGTTTAATAACACCACACACAACGAGCCTTCTTCTGGTCAAACCATAATCTTTGATGAGAGTGTGTGTGTGTGTGCTGCATCAGTGTGGCTGCATGTGCTGGCAGTGCATCCCTGCCCTTATCTACTCACTTTACCCTAAATCTCTCTGGTTGCACAAAGGGACTGGGTATCTCCCCTGCGCGAGCCTCAACACACATCAGCAGCAGCAGCAGCAATAAAGAGATTGTGGAGCCCCCTCTCCTAAATACATTAGCTCTCTAATCCACGGGACCATTTGCACATCCAATCCTCTGCTCCTGTACTAATGGGGATCTGGCTGTGAGAGAGACAGGCTGCTCGTAGAAAAAAAAAACAGGGCCTTCCTACACATGCTATTTTACACCCCATCAACCTCCAACCTCCATCTCCATCGGAATACATTACGGGGCATTATCCATGCAGGGGGATAATGAAGGCTGCTGGAGCGTCGGCGAGGGTCTGTGATTCACATGCTTCCATATTTACAGTCCTCTGCTCCCCTAATGAAATCTGCAGAGAAACTCTGCCATCCTTGACCCTCTCAGATCTGACTGAGTGGTCAGCGGTGTTTCCCATCTCTATCAATATTTAAACAGGGTGTATGAGGACAAAAGACACACACAGTGTTCCTCTCCCACAAAGACTACGGCTAAGTTACAGCTGAGTACCAAGACCGAATGAAATCGAAATGGAATCAGTGAAACAATGGATTTAGAGGAATGAAGCCGTATGGATGAGTAGTTCAGTTTTGTCAGATTTTGTTGGGGGGTGGGGGTTGGGGGGTGTTATGAGGCAGCGAGACACACACAGATGAAGGGCAGGAGTGGCAGTTAAAGGCACAGACATATTTGACTGTATAATGAAGGCTCTCTGAGTCAGGGCCTGGGATCAATGTTACCTCTCTAATAACATTCACCCTCTCCCTCCCTGCCTCGGTCCCGTTCCCTTTGCATATATGCCAATCTCCTCTCTTATCCCCCTTTCATTTCACTCTCCCAATTCCCCTGCTGTCAGTCTTCAAAATGTGTCCACACTGGCTCCTAGGCCATGGAGAAAGCATCTCAGAGCAATGGCACTGATTGGAAACCAGTTTGGCTCTTAAAGTCACATGACCTAACAAGAGTTCCCAGGTTGATACACACATATTCTCAGAGCCTTTACTCAAAAAACCTCAAGTTTTTGCACCCCATGGCTCATTTAATGCTCCCGCCACTTGTTCTCCTCTGCTACCTCACTTCTCTTGTTCATTACTTCCCATCTCCCACTCCATTGGGCAAGAGAGGCCAGTGACAGCGCGGCTCCAGCCCAGCTGCTATGTGTCAGACTTGCAGGAAATGCTCTAGGGGCCACCAGAATTGGAGAGCGTGTCCTCAATTCTCCTCGATCGTATGGACAAAGTGGGTTAAATTGGGCTCTAGCAGCACCAAACATAGGGACACAATCACATGGCAATGATATTTTAGTCATGCCCAATTGCTTTCCTTGATGTGTGGTAATTGCTTGACCTGGGGATGGTGGTGTGGGGCCACAGGCAGCAAAGACGCTGTCTGCATACCAAGCAACATACATGAGCACATGCTTACACACATAGTATAGATATTTGACGACACAGCAGCTACACAGCAGTTATACTCCACCTTCACTGCAGTGCTCTCATATCTCAGGACTGTAGTCAATACTATATATTGACCACTGGATAATGTCTGGTTTAAATAGGCTACAATATTGATTATTTTCATCTAGTTAATCCAACAAATGTGAGGTTTTGGCAGATCAATCCAAAATCTACTTAAGTTGTTAATTATATTTTGAGATAAATAATGGAAGAACTAAAAATGGAAACTTCTTGTTTTGCAGTAACTTGCAAAAAATCAATTGTGTGCTGTTTTTCATCAAAACACTTACAAAAATCAAATCTTTAATACCCTGAAAATAAATGAAACAATATGTTTTGGTAAATCAATGTATGACATTATGATCATGTACCTTGGAACATAATTGTATGTCACTACAGGAACATGGGTTCTGCAAAATGGATATAATGACTTCCTTTGAATGTTAGGATAAAATGGCAAAAATAAAACAGTTTTAGTATTTCAGCGACACACCCATGATCAGAAATTATAGTTTCTTAAGTAAGGGAATAAAACCTATCAATACATTTGTGAAAAGGTTTGATTTTAACTTGTTTTTCATACGTCTTCTGAAAGTAGGCTATATGGAGAAAATCCTCTAATACAGTACATCTTACATTGTGATATCAATGTACATACTGATAAAGTAACATTTCTGTCTGTACTGTTTATGAAGCTGTCCTTTAGGAACATACAGAAGTTGCTTTGAGCTAAATGCTATTGTCAGTGTGCTAACATGCCTACTATGACAATGCTAACTCATTTATGTGTGGCAAGTATATTCTCATGTTTACCATCGTAGTTTCACTTGTTGACATGCTAACACTTGCTAATTAGCAATAAACAAAAAAAAAAATACAGCTTAGGCTGGAATGTCATTCCTTTCAAAGTATTGGATAAATTCAAATTTTGACCTGATGACAGTCATCCTGAGGGGGCCTTGAATGTTCACTCAAACGTCAGAACATCACCAAGTTCATTAGGATTCATCCTCTTGGGATAATTAATATCTGCACAAAATTTCATGGCCATCAATCTCATAGCTGTTGCGATATTTCAGTCTGGACCAAAGTGATGGACTAACTGACAAACATTGCCATTCGTAGACCCACTATCATGGATTTATAATGTCAAAGAGCATTCCTGCTGACTGATTTACAATATTGCCCACAATGGTTTAACGCAGCCAGAGATGAAAAGGAATAGCTACCACAATGTAAATGATATGGCAAAATATCTGACGGTAGACAAATTACAAGGCATAGTACACACATCGTAGTGCCTAACTCTATATCAGATACACAATAAGCTTGATAAAATTGTGAAATACTTTGACTAAAGAACACTTGGTTTCAGTGACAGAAGTGTGAAAGTCAGCATTATGATTCAACTCGATGCAATCTCTCACTTCATCCATGTCAAGGTTTATTGTCCAGTCACTGAATGTCTCAGTCAGATTTGCCATTTGTTGCTATTTTCAGGATGGGTCAAGGTTCACAAAAAATCCCATAATTTAGCATGTGAATGGGCCAATACATGTTTTTTTTACAAAAAAAAGGCATTTTGAGAGAATTTGAGACCAGAGGGTTGAAGGTAGTGAGAAGTCATAATAAAACATTTAAACACAACTTTAAAAAACACTTTCTTCATCTTCATTGGACAAGGATGAGGCCAGTGTGTGAAATATATACCGTAAATCCTATTTAGCAGTTGAGCTGATTTATTATGACATCCCTCAGTGAGACAAGCTGTATCAGAGAGCACCAGCTGAGCTACAAAGTCGTCATGGTTATAATTTTCACTGCCTGTTCACTGGGTTCAGATCTTCTCCGTGTTATCAAACAAATCAGGATGATCATCATTCAGTAGCATGAGATTCTCCTTCCAAACATTCATTGCCTTCCATCAGCCATGCAACCCAACCTGGCATTAAGAGCAGCTAAACACATTGGGGTAATAGGATTGCCCTGGCAGTCCATCTGTCAGGGGACTGAGCAGCAGCAAACCCTGGGGATGCAGCACCCTGGCCTGGATACACCTGCTTAGTCTGCCCTTTCTTTGCACTCTTCTCTGGAGATATTTATTCAATATTAAAACATAACCTCTGTGAGAGTAAAACACAGCTGTTCAAGAGTCGAAATGCCATAAGGAGTTAGTAAAACGCCGGGAAATACACACTGGGAGTTTATAACCTTCTGGATTTAAAAATAATAAAACGCGGCTACTGTTAATAGAGTACAGATGGAGATGCATGGCAGTATAGAATGAATAGAGCGCAAGACAGGGTGGGGGAGGGATACGGAGGAGAACGGAGGGCCTGGGAGAGGCAAGCAGAGGAAGATAAAAAGATGGATGTATAGTTTTGGTAGAGGGCATTAAATCAAGCCTAGAGGCTGTCCCTAAATCAGCAGGCTTTACTCTTGGTGTCATTCCAATTACATCAGGATGAGACTAATGCTCCATTGCACAGAGACTTCAGACCAGCAGGATTGGATTTTCTCTTTCCCCCTGACTCTCCTTTCCCCTCCCCCAACCCCCCCCCACACCCCTGTCTCCCATGATAATGAATTAATTGAAAATAATGCATGTACAATGATTAGCACAGGACGGAGCATTTTGGGTGAAAATTAAT